GTTTTGACTACATGTCATCTGCCCTTTTCTCTGGCGAACGACGACTTCACGTTCAATGGGGGTTTCATTCGTGTTTTCTGTTTTGCTTGTGCCCATGTGGAGGGTGTCGACAAGAAAGGCTTGTGACAAGGAACGGAGCAAATATGCCAATGGGCAAGGTAGCCCCGGTAGCCAATGTGCCCAGAGCAAAGACGTGATGCTGCCGCGTCCGTTTTCAAGTCCGAAAGATTCTCCGACGAGGACTGCGAGTTTTGAGACCATGAGGCAGAGCAGGAGAGGGGGGAGGTGTGTGTGTGTGTGGGAGGTTAGATGGCCGAGTGTTGTCTCCGGAGGGGGTGCCTGAGGTGCCCCCACTCCGCTGATTGGCCACGGCTGACAGACTTCGCCGAATTAGGAAGCTTTGCGATTGCGCCATCGCCCACCGGTCGGGAGCCTCCGTAACGATGAGGATTCTGAGTCTCTGAGTACTCCGTAATACCTGCCACCCGACCAAGGGGAAGCCATCCTCGTTGGAGAAAACGTCTGACGATCTTCTTTCCCTCCTCACCCCATTTCACATTACTGGTCACTCCCCGATCTCGCTTTGAAAGCATACAGAAGAAAAAAGAGGAACAATACTCCGTACTCTCCCTCCTTATGACAACGTACGTGGAGAGTGACAAGACATAACGGGTGCTCCGGACATAAAATCTAGCCATATATCTCGCTCATAAATCTTCCCTTTCGCTTATCAGATCTTACCTCACACACCCCCAAACAAAACATGATCGACGACACTCTCAAGCGCCCTGCATCAACAGACTATACCACCTCACACCCCGTGAAATCACAAAAGATCATCAGCAACAATAACAACAACGACATGCCTTCCGCAGTCTCTACCGGTTCCAACATTGTTGGTGGAAACTCGGCAGCTCGCCCCCGCTTGAGCAAGCCGCTCGTCTACTCCGGCTCTCTGGACAACTTCAAGAACGCAGACATCACCCCTGTCATCGGACGTGAGTATGAGGGCCTGCAGGTTGTTGATCTCCTCAAGGCGGACGACCAGGTCATTAGAGATTTGGCCGTCACAAGTGAGTTTATCCTCCACCTCTCCATGTATGTCAAGCCATGTGCTAATAGATGGCATAGTTTCTCAGCGTGGTGTCGTCTTCTTGAGGGACCAGGATGTGACGCCCACCCAAATGAAGGATTTCTGCCTCCGTCTCACAGAGCTTGCCGGGTGTGTAAGTGAAAATCAACAACTTCAACCCAACTTGTAACTCAGCTCCCTAACCTGATCCGAGAAATAGCCCGAATCATCAGGCCTTCACATCCACCCCCTGACAGAAGAAGGTAGCGAGCTCGGTGACCAAATCAGCGTCATCAGCAGCGAGAAACAGAAGAAGGGCGGCGGCCTCACCCACCAACTGAGCGATGTCAGCCGCTTCGCCAGCGCTGGCTGGCACACCGACATCTCTTTCGAGCAGGTCCCCTCGGACTACGCAATGCTCAAGATCCACACCCTTCCCGCCACCGGTGGTGACACTGTAAGTCCCAAACCAACCGCGTCCCCGTTCCCCATCTCACCTCTCTTCCCCTGAAAAGGCTGGCTGGAACCACCCGTGTCCTCCCCCTTGCTCACTTGATTGCTTGCTTTGCTCGCCATTATACCCTTGCAGTTGCATTGCAGATGAGAGGTGGAACCTTGCCCGGCTAACTGGGTGAACTCGCAGCTATGGGCTTCTGGATATGAGATCTACGACAGACTCTCCCCGCCCATGCAGAAGTTCCTCGAAGGGCTGACGGCCACCCACGACGCCACATTCTTCCACGACGAGGCCCGCAGGCTGGGTAACCCCCTCCGAGAAGGCCTCCGCGGCTCGCCGCTGAAAAAGGGCTCCGAGCTCAAGTCCATCCACCCCGTGATCCGTACCAACCGTAAGTATAATGCCCGTCTATCACATCACTCCACCCCTAGTCAAAAGCATTCCGAAAAAAAAAAGTCTAGAACCTCAAGCTGAAAAACCTACCCCCTTCAGCCGTAACGGGATGGAAGTCCGTCTACGTGAACAAGGGCTTCACTAAGCGCATCAACGGCGTCACAAAGGACGAGTCCGACGTCCTCCTCGCCTACCTCTTCAACCTCGTCACCCAGAACCACGACGCCCAGGTCCGCTTCAAGTGGCGCCAGAACGACCTCGCCATCTGGGACAACAGGAGCATGTGGCACTGCGCCACCTACGACTACGTCGAGGCCAGGGCCGGCGACCGTGTTGCGTCGTTGGGCGAGGCGCCGTATCTCGATCTGAACAGCACAGGTAGACGGGAGGCGTTGGGACTGTGAAGAAAGGGCGTTTTCGACGAAAAAAAGGTTTGGGTCACGAATGGCGTTGGGGTTTTTGGTAGTTTTGAGATGGAAATTTGTATTAGGCCTTTGACGAATTGAAGTTTATTAGCATTATGTGGAAGACACGGCACTACGAAACATTGTTGGAAGAATCATCCATTGCATACTTGCTATGGCATAAGGTAACCTGCTTCATGATGCTATGAATATCAGTCAACCACCACATGCTAGCGATTCCATCGCATTGCCCCTGGCTGCCATTCTCGCTCAAAAAGCCCTTCTGTCATCACCCCTCTTTCTCATCATCGCTGAGTTGATCTACAGTATCGCCATTATCTTCGTGAAGCAAGTCTCCAATCCACTTGCTGTCCCCGAGTATGCTTCTTGCTTCCTCGGCTTCCACTACCATATCATCAGATATCAACAGCACTGCCAATTCCGGGACCAACACTGCCTCCACATAGCTAGAATAACCACGCGACGATATCAGCCGATCGTCGACGGCTCGTTCTCTCAGAATCGATGAAAAGCGACCGATAATGTGCTCTGAGAATGCACGAAGGCCCCGCGGGCCGTAATAGCCAGGCGTCAAGCTATCTTCTGCCTTGAGCAAGGTCCGGTTCTTGCCCTCCTTGACCTTGTCAAGCAGCAAATCACCAAAGTGAGAAGATCCGCCGTTGATAATCTTTCCAAGAAAGCTATAGTGAGTAGCAATTCGAGTATCAAGTCCCTCCCAGTCGATCTTGGGGTAGCCCCGAGCATCCCAAGCCTTTTCAGCAGACTTCTTTTTGTGCAGTCGGCAGAACTGAATCTGCTTTCGGATGTGCAGACGGGCACCCTTGGAGAAATCGTGCAGCAACTTCTCATCGACAATCTCATTACACATGGGGCAACGTGCCTCTACAAGCTGCTTGAGGTCGCTGTCCAAGTCTGACAAGTCCGAGGATTCAAACGAGAATTTCCTCGTCTTCTTCAAATCAGACTCAGGACTTGACTCTAGATTGCGAAGCTGTGAGCGCGCATTCGTTGGACTCTGCAGAGACTCAGGTAAGGAAGCTGATGGAAGTTTGAACTCGGCCTTAGCTTTTCGCTTTGGTGACGAATGAGGACTGAGAGATACATGCTTCATAACAGGATGAGCAGAAGCGTGAGGAGGAGAGGATAAAAACGTGGCCGCGGGCTCAATGATGCGTTTTGGAGGTGTCTGGCTCAAGAACTGGTCAAATGGGTCGTCATCGTAGGCTTTGAAAGACGGCTGCACCATCTTGGGCGCGGCAGCTGATCAATGGTTAGTAACCCCATAGCTTTGAAACCAATGTACAACAAACCTTCTCTTCCTAGCTTGGATATTGGCTTCTCCTGCGATGACTTCGGTTTTGACTTTGTGGGAGGTCTGATACGCCCTCTGCTGTTTTCGCCTCGACCATAGCTCTTCTTCCGTACTAGTAATCTTTTGGCCTCTTTCTCGTCGTCAAGGCCGATCTTCCGTGCCTTTGTTACCTTAGATTCTGGACTAAGTGCCCCGCCGTCTGGTGAATTTCTCTTGCTGCCACGTGTTGTAGAGAAAGAGCCCTGAGAGCCTTCGTATTGCGCTTGTCCTTGAGAGCTTTCCTGGGAAGCGCTCCACATCTTGCTCTGCTCCTTTCCTCTCTTCGATGAGCCGAAATAAGGTCGAGCCATGTCGGCGCGAGATGACCAGGCACTCTGATCATCATCAGAGTCTGAAGCTGGTTTTGTACTCGAAAAGACCCGAGACGCCTCTTTTGAGCTTGGCATGGCATTCGAAGGGATTGATCCGCTGCAAGGTTCTGGATCGGTAATCTCATCATCAGAGTCATCAGGTGGCCGGTCTACCGGTCTGCCGTCGGCGAATAATGTCCGTCGCTGGCCATTAACCTGTGACAATAAAGGCCGAACGCGGTTGTCTCTCGCAAGACCAGCTCGCCTCTGCATCGTTGCCTGCTTTGGGGGCATGTTGACACTGAATATGCCTTACAATGATGCCTAACGCAGCGTTGGGTCGACTGAGTTATGCTCTCGAGAGGCAGAAGTATCAGTAATTAAGTGTTCCCTGCGGAGACCAGCAGGCATCTCACACGGAGCTCAACATCAGTCTCCGGCCGGGTTCGCTTCCGCTTCCGGTTCAATCCCTGATACTTTGTAATGGAGGTCGGCGAACATATGCAAGATGATCAACGACAACCCCCAATTGATGTTGAGTCTTCGTACGTAGCCTCGACCGATATCTGATCTTCTCGGTTGCGGAGGAGACGTTGTTTGTTCGGCCCCCGGAGCCACAAAATTTGCTGCCGCTTGAGGTTAAGTGGAAGTGCTGACCCGGGGAAAAGGTGGAAGCTACAATCGCGTTCTCGACGCGTGCCTGCCCAAGCACCGGCCAAGCAGTGTACAAACGACCCCACCCCACTCTGTCAATGGGTACGTCCACGTTAGCGGGAAACCCCTGGTGGCACAGTGACTTTTGGCGTGGAAGCTGGAGCTCCCCTTCCTGCGCAGGGGTCTTTGATTGATTGTTGACTTTACTACTCCGTACATCGACAACTGGGCCATTAAGCTTCACGGGCGACGCCTTACCGACGACTCGAAAGGGGTGCATTGCCAGACAACGCGTCCTCATCCATCGAATTCCCCAATTCTTCCCGGATTCTTCGTCATGGCGTTGAATCGGAAATACGCAGCATTACCAGACCTTGTCAGCATACTTGTACTACTAAATACCAAGAAGACAATACTGACGAGGTTCAGGACTCGGCCCCGGACGTGTACGAGACGCCAGAGCTGACAGACGATACCTCCACTGTTCCTGTGCGTTCCTTACCCTGAGATCGTTTGCTATGGCTGACCAGCGCGCAGACGACAACCGGACAATCGCATTCGGATGACGATTTCGACGACGACCTCGACGATGACGCCAACGGCATTTCAAGGTCCCGACTTCGGGTAGATGAAGCACGATCTCGCTTCCTTCCGGCGGGCGTGGACGCCACAGGGGTCGACTTTTCCGATCGAGTAGACGGCAAGCGCAAATCGTACAAGGCATCAACGCGACGCCAGCGTTTCCTGCAGGATGGTACGGAGCAATTCGGCGATCTTAGTGATGAGGACGATGAGGACAGCCTGGAACGCAAGATAGCGCGGCTGCAACGAGAAGTAGAGGAAGCCAAGGAGGAATACGGGAAGAGGAAGGAGGCTGCAGCAAAATCTACGACAGGAGACCATGACGAGAATTTAGGGTCTCTCAGCAAGGTCCTGGACGAGATCTCCAAAACTCTGGAACCGCATACGAGCGCTTCTCGCGCACCTCAGCCAGTGTCTCAATCATCTGGGCCATCTAAGAATGAATCGCAAGACTTGGTGGCACCGGGGAACTCTGCGACCTACACAGTAACGTATGCTCCTACCTACGAACAGAGTCACGCTCTCGCCACCGCCGCGGACTTTGACCGACGACTGGCCCTCCTTGAGAAGGCAATCGGAGTAGGATCAACCGCCCTGCCGGAAGTCGACATCAATGGTCTGCCCAGAGCCATTCTTCCCACGCTTGATGGGCTTCAGAAGCAGATTACGACTCTGTCGCAGGCGTCAACATCGAATCTGGATTCAATCAGCCGTCGAGTCCGTACCCTCATCCAAGAAGCTCAGGAGCTGGAAAAGGCACGCCAGGGGGCTAAATCTGCGCAAGAAACCCTCGGCAATGGTACGGCTCCTAGCGAGGATGCCCCGGCTCCCGAGCAGCTGGCAAAGATTAACGCTCTTTATGGGACTTTGCCGACCATTGAGAACCTCGCTCCTCTCTTACCACCATTGCTTGACCGCCTGAGGTCCCTCCGCGCAATACACTCTGACGCTGCCACTGCTGGCGAAATGCTTGGCAGAATTGAAAAGCAACAAACCGATATGGCGACGGACCTTAAGCAATGGAAGGACGGTTTGGAAAAGGTTGAGGAGGCGATGAAGGAGGGTGGCACTGCCATGACCGGAAACATGAAGGTGATGGAGGCATGGGTAAAGGACTTGGAGGGACGCATTGCGAAGTTGCCATAATTGACTTCCGCCGTCAAAAGATACCCCTACTTAATCGATCAATCGAGCCGAATTAAAAAATCTCTTGCGAACGTGTCCATAATGTGGCTGTCAATGTGTCGTTGTAGAATGGCTAGGCCCTTACGAGGTTTTAGGATCTGAGCTCCCAACTTCGACGTGCATGTATGTCACCACAAACCCGACTATGGAAAGCCAGATATAACCATCAAAGCACCTTCGGTGAACTCCGCAACCCGATCAAAAAACATTCAAGATGTCAGATGCGTTCGAAAAATAGCGAACTTATTGCCAGTCTCTACTTCTGCAGACGCCCACCCTGCTTCTGTCTGATGCATCGTCATCTGTTTCTTACAGTAAGGTAGAGTGATCAATAGACAATGCCCTTCATATTCCTATTTCTGGGCTATTAAGGTATGCAGCACAAATATGGGGTTGGAGATGGGTTTCGGTAAGCGGTGAACACGGCAGAAACCAGATGGACAATGCGCCCAACTCGCGACCAATGAGAGATCGCTGGGTCTCTAGCACGCACCGTGGAAGGGTTTCCTTTCGCTAAAGCCCTTCCACAAGTCTTCGTAGCGAAAAAAAGATCGTACTCGCAGTCAACCATCAACCCGCGCAGCCCACCACCCAGCAGCACCTTCGCAACCACATACATGTACGTGTCGCGACGCCCGAGAAAAATTGACAGAGATCTTGATCGACTGACGTAGAATTTTCGCCCGCAGTCAAAATGGATTCCGCTAAGCAGCCTGTCAAGCTTGTGAAGGTCACCCGCGTCCTGGGCCGTACCGGTATGCCCCGCCTCTCCTCCCCCGAAAAATAGAGAAACGAAACCCTCCCCGACGAAGATCGAATCCACGATTGCAACCGAGACGGAAGGAGGGACGAATTTTTGGCAGATTTTCTGACTGCGTATAGGCTCCCGCGGTGGTGTCACCCAAGTCCGCGTCGAGTTCATGGACGACGAGACCCGTTCCATTATCCGTAACGTCAAGGGACCCGGTAAGCGACCACCGAATACCTGCGACCGCCTTCTCACCGAAAGAGGGGGCAACAGCGACAACCGCGCGAAGGGAACCAAGAATACTGGCTAACATCTTTCTCTCTCTCTAGTCCGTGAGGACGATATCCTCTGCTTGCTCGAGTCTGAGCGTGAGGCCCGCAGACTGAGATAAGGCAGCTGAATAGGCGGCGGCGTGTGTTATGGACATTACGAGGAACGGAATCATGGTTCTGAGGATGGGACAGGAACATTGCGAGGGCTTCGTCACCCGAGCCCACGGCTTTCGTGCTTAGAGGAGTCAAAAAACGGATTCTGCATTGCGAATACAGCAAGGTTCTCCCACCCAGCCGCGAGGCAACTCTGCACGAAGAACGACCTCGTGTACCTGTTTGTGATGCGACGCTGGAAGGGGCAAAGGGAACGGCGTCTACGAGATATATCAATCAATGGACAGCCTGGGAAAATTCATCAAACATCTTCTGCACCAATTCTTGCATCTCGACTGACTGCTATGTGGTTCACGCTGCTTGGATGATGATACTGTCCCCTCGGGGAACGATGTGAGAATACGACGTGTGCAGGGGAAAGTCTCAATCAATTTGATTATCAACGTAGTCTTGGAACTCTCCTTCAGCATCAACTTCTCCAGACTGCAACTGTCATCACGATCGCGAATTGCCCCGCAAGCTGCGCCTGAGAACCGCAAAGCGCAAGGCCGCAAATTCCTTGGAAGTGTCACGTGATTGGGGGCCAACGAAAATTTCCTTGGACTGCCCCACTCCCTCATCTCTTGCAGCTATAAACTTCTCTGGATTCCCAATCACCTTGGACTTTTCTCTTCCTTAACCCTCAACCCTTGAAAGGGGGCATTTCGCGAAGTGGTAAGTCAAACAGTCTCTATTTTTGCTCGTTATAACAGTTGGGATGATGTATCCAAATTAGCATGTATTACCTGAATCCTTTTGATGTATCAAAATTATCACCAAGATCTCTGACACCAACACTATCAACTACTATTTTGCGTTCACTCCAAGCTTTTGTAGCATTGGCTAACCCAAACAAAAGATTGCAGATCTCTACCAATCATACTTCGAACATGGCTGCGGCTCCCAGGCCACCCAAAGACCACTTCAACGTCTTGTTCTTTGCAAGCGCGGGCTCCTTCACATCCAAGCAATATGAGGTGTTGCCGGCCCCTCTCCCCTTGAAGAAGCTATTCGATGCGCTTGAAGAGAGACACGGCGGGTTCAAGGAGAGGTTCTTAGAGTCGTGTCTGGTGACGGTCAACTTAGAATACGTAGATATCCCTGGGCCGGACGACGAGGACGGTCCGATATTAAGGTCCGGCGATGAAGTAGCCATCATTCCTCCGGTCAGCTCCGGGTGAAGGGATCCCGTCGGTGGCAGCCCTCGTATCTGTGACCTGGTTCCACCACGTCGTCGTGGGCACTGCAGGAGTAAATCCCTGCGGCAGCTCTTATTTTTCGCTACGTGCCATCTCGCGTGCTTTGCGCTTGACCCAGTAACGGGTCGCGTTCGCCGTCCTGTTCTTGCGGTCGTTGCCAAAATTGCACTCGGCTCCAGTCACGCTTCCACACCCGCCACCAGTCCGGGTCTTGCTTACTCCGTCGTCTCCCCCAGCGGACGCCGAGCACGATCAAGGCCACCAACAAGACCACGATGAACGTCGACACTATGGAGATGATGGACGTCAGACTCGTAATAGTCGAAACCTGGCAGCCCAACGGCTTGGTGCGCAACTCCCATCGTTCCGCCCAGTGCGGACAAACGTTCTCGTCGTAGGCGGGTGCCAATAACGGAATCGCGTACGAATTAGGTACACAGGCGGACGTCTATATCAAGGAACGCAGACACAGCATCACAAATTAGCACACAAATATTCGTTTTCATCGTTTCCAATTTTGGGCGTGGTAGAACGGTACCATGGGACACCAGCTGCATTCGTTCTCCGCCAGGCACACCTTGCAGTCCTGGTGGTTCCAGCACCGGAAGAAGTGCTCTTCAGACGATTCTCTGGCTGATGAGAAGTTGTGCTTCAGTTGCCATAATTCTTTGGTGCTGAGTTTGTCCATCTTGTGAAAGTCCGGTACGGCGGCACAGGCGGCAGTAAAGCGCCTAACCTAGCCAATTGGTGATTACGATTGCGATTGCGGGTGGAAAGTGAATCTTGCGATGGAAGTTCCCAGTGGGACGAGTACGGGATGACACCGGAGTTGTGCGGGGAAGGAGCTGGTCGAGTTGGAGTCCGTGCGCCTCATACTTGGATCGCAGTCTGTCACAATTCCTGACTTCAACAAGCCTCGCGCTTCAAATCCTAGAATCCTAATACCCATTAGATGCATATAAGAGATGCTTGATACATCGTCTGAGAACATTCCGTTTGAGCCAGTTCGGCAGAGAACCTTAAATGCGGTCGTTCCTCGGACAATTCCCCCAAAGAAATTCAACATGGCAAATTACGGCAGAATGTCCATTTGAGGTGTCCTTTCAAGACATCACCAATATGCGGCGGCCACGGAACAAGGCGGCCACCGGACACCGGCTACTATGCAGGTACCGTCGCTTGACGGTTGCTCCCACGGGAACGTCAGTTTCTTGGTCTTGCGGCTTGCTACGGAGACTTCTCAGGGGCCAGTCCTGGAGGATGGGTGCTGCGCTGCAAGCAATATAAGCAATTGGTCCCAAGATCACGGATTCGACGATCCCCCATCAATCGGCAACTTGGGAATAATACCCTTAGCGGCGACATGCCGGCAATTTATGGATAAATTACCCCTGCTTTCGAGAAGCAGCCGCAAGCCGACAACAGCTCGACAAGTGTTATTTTCTTCAAGGAGGCCTTCGGATACAGCTACCGGTGTGAGTTGGACTTTGTGCATCAAGATACTTACAGCTGTGGTGGTTACATGAGAAGATCATCTACGTGTATATCGGTCTGGTCCTATTACAGGCCATGCAATTATTGCTGTTACCGAGGCTGTCGTGAGCTGTCATGAGCCGCCTAGACTGTCCACAGACTGCCGTTGATCGAAAAGTCGGCCCGGTTGAAAGACACTACGGACAAGAGGAAGCACGAAGGCGGCTGACTACCTACCTATGTCTCGAACGCGACCATCGCCTTGCGAGTCTGCAACGAGGAACGCGTCGGCTGAGAGCCGACTACGGTTAATTGTATTGCAACTCCGTTCGTGTTGGTTCAGTCACGGGCAAGACCCTGCAATCCAATGTTCTGCCGTTGGCATAGCGCGATCTTCCCTCTATCAACCACTACCGGGCGTCATTCAGCCTGATATCAGGCTAAATGGCTAAATGCATCGGGTGCCCTGGGTGGCGCCGGTCAACGACGTGGTATCCTGGCAGAAACCCCCATGTGAGGCAGCGGCGCAGTAGTCATTTTTCAACCTCACGCTAGGAATCTCCAACCCCTCGAGTCTTCTCCAACAGTCAACTTGGACACGGTGCGATTCTCAGCGTTGTCGTGGGGCTCCGCAAATGCATCTCCACGACCCACGACGGTTTAGTGTAGAGGCAAGACCGTTCGACTAGGGAACTCGATCATTCATGCTGGGTATGAGCTGCTCAAGTGTCGTACCACTGACAGGCCTGGTGTGCGAGGCCTTCCCCAACACCCCCCACCGCTATTTACACCCACGCTCGGAAGCACCCACGTGAACTCTTCACCTGGCAAGGATCCTGGCGAAAGTCACTCAAGGAGTGATCTGACTGAGAATGGCAGGCCTTACCACTCTCGAGTCCTCTTTACAGGGCGGGATGGAATGCAAAGTCGGGCTGTTCCGCTTCATCGTGGATCGACTGACAGTCGAGCAGCAGTATCGACGGAAGAATCTTGGCCCTCATGGTGACCCTCCGCACAGCGCACGCCCACGAATCCACACCCTCAATGACCTTGGGGAGGGTGGGTCTATGGGTACTCAGAGAGGAGCGGTTCTCGGCCGACCAAGTTACGAGAGATTCGCATGCACCCGCTGTCGCCCCATTGCTGCGGAATCCATCCCGCCGGCACGAGGACTGATCGCGCTGAAAGCGACATACGGCGTCAAGAGGCATATCACGTCGCCATTACTCACCGTGTGAGAAGCAGACTTGTCTCTAGAAGCTGAGTACGCCTCAGTGGTTTTGAGTAAGCGCAAAAGGCCCGTCTAGCTTTTGGTACCAGGCCCGCAACCCGTGTCCTCAAAATAACACCAATGGCACGGTGGAAAGCTTTACCGAGGGTGTCTCTCTCAGCAGGGGTCGCTCCTCGACAAAGTTGCATCGACGGGACGGAGGTGTCTGCACTTTCGGTTTGGCCTACCGCCTCATCGCAGCAAACTTTGGTCCCCGGACATGAGTACCGAGCACCTTATTGAAGCATTTACTGTTTTTCATGCGTCGAAAGAGCTTCCCGTTTTCACGTGGCGAGTAAGTTTTCTCTCATTTGCCCCAGAAATTATTGGGATAATACGCGTGAGAAGCAACCATTGACTGATACTTCGTTGCGGCCCCGGCGTGATCACTGCATCAAGCCGGCCCAGCAACGGCACGGCACACGGAAACACACGGAATAGAAAGTGTACGGAGTATACCTGGCGAGTCACGGAAGCGTCATGCCGGGTTTAAGTCGAGTCGCCATGTTCCCAGCGCCCACATTCTAGTGGTAAAGACGACCGATTTTAGCTTAGCGATGAGTCGTCCACCTCGGCCTTGTCTTCCCCGCAGCGGTCGACTAGTCAACCCCAAACTCGTCTAATTTTGCGGTTCTTTTTCTCTCCGTCCTCACTTGCTAGGATATCTCTGGGGTTAACTCTTGAGCGGCCGGCAAAAGCTATCCGTCTTTTTCAGCCTCTTGTCCGAAACCTCAGCCATTGACGTCAACTGAGAAGCTCCCGGAAATGGCCTTCTCATCACCTCAATCTTCATACACGTATGTTTACAACTTTCAGTCGTAGTCGAGCGTGTCGAGTCACCTTGGGGAAAGAGAATGGGACAACGGGCGGGACCGTCGCAGTCTCCACTTGAAAGACAACCTCCCTGCTTACCTCCACCTCCTTCTCCACGGGACCCCAGGGGGAACGTTCAGCAAAGTGGGAACTCTCACACCTTTCGCCCTTTTCCCATCTAGTCTTGTCCTTGTCTAGTGGGTTGAAGTGT